AACCTGCTGGCAGAGCCCTTAATGAGCCTTCCACCAGTAGGTTGCATGGCGCTAGAGCCTCGCTATCGTATGCGTCCTTGATTAGCGAATTGGCGTAGAATTGAGCACGGCTTCTACTGCGACTAGAGTCAACAGTAGCTCTACGGCCTTTAGCAGCAGGCTGTCTACCGTCCTTAGGAGTAGGTCCACTGCTGTCTTCACACCTGCCTATCACCGAACCCCGATGAGCAGAACTCTTGGTGGTATGAAATCAAATCCACTTTCGATGCGAATTCGCGGACCTTTTCATTGATTCATCCGCATTGCCAAAAACGGCGCAGTGCCGTTAGTTACAGTGTTACAGTAACCTAAAGAACCTCAAATAGTCAGATTCCCACACTTAAAACTGGAAATATCGATTTGCTTTATATATATTTTTGATGCCACCTGTCAATGCACATTTGTGGGGCCTAAAGCGAAGCAGAGTCGAATTTAGCTTCTCTTGAATGTTCGGTCAAACTTTAAAAAGGTCATTTAACGCAATTTGAGACGAAGTTCAAAAATACACTTCGAAAACATAGTATATGTGATTTGTCTTAAGACACACGGATGCGGAATGAAGTAGTGTGGATTATTTGGAATCTGATTTTCTATTTCAGACATGTGAGCGTTAAGTGTTTATCCATGAATTCCAAGTACATGCGCCTTGGCTCGGAATTTCAAAATAGGGATGTTTCTTACCAAGCTGAGTGGGATCTGTTTTAAATAAGATCTTACTATGAATCGACTTAACAAAAATATTTCTAAAGTGTCCAGAAAGTGAATCTCACTTAATTGCTGTTCAACTGCTCGGAGATTTTCGCTACCATATACACGGCCTTGCCTGGAATGTTTTGTGTTTAACAATTTAAATATTCATTTTTGGGCAGTTTCAGCTTATTAAAAATTAAATATTGCCCCTAATATCTTAACTATACTTCTATTTGAAAATATATTTAACGTTCATCGAATATAGAACCCAACGTTGAAATCAACACATTACGGCGATGATATTCTTGTGAATATTGAAACCGAAAAAAGAATTGTCGTTCATTACACCAAGAGCAATAGACATCGCAAAAAACTTTTTTTTTTAAATGTTAACAAATATCTCTGAAAATAAATTTAAAGCCGATGGTAAACAGAAAAGTAAATGTGCTTTTGCAAAAAGTGTTAAATATAAAATTTGTTTACACTTTATCGCACATTAAACGTTTGACCCGCATTTATCATCCAAAAAAAGGTAAATTTTGCAAAAAAAAAAAAGGGAAGTACGTCTAAAATGAATTAACATCTCTGAAAATAAATTTGAAACCGTTTGAATGTTAAACAATTACTGCTTTCAGACAGTTTACCACAGTTGAAATCAATTATAGATCGATCAGATCAACCTAAACACACCCCAGAACTACTTAGAATTGCACAAAATTCTATTTGAGCGTGCCCCTCCTTCACATAATCTGACAACAGTCAACATTTTTGGGTTTCTAGTTATTACGGCTTAGGTTGTGCGTTGATCAGATAGGTTAAATACGTTTATTTATGGAGATAGACTTAACAATTTCCCAACATGACAATTTTTAACATGACGCAAGACAGAGCTGAAGGTATTTGCCATTGAACAATTCGTCAGGATAATACAAAACAGGAACGCGTTTCGTGAACCTTCTATGGCAGACCATAATATTTAAGAGCATATGCGTCCTTCGTAAAAACAATTCTAGCAAAATATAGCAACGGCGCCATGTAATACCATTGTAAAGATTTGACTTACGCAAGGTATGTAGATAGTAGAATAGTGAAGCTCGTAAATGCTTAGATTAGTGAAAATATTTTGGAAAACAGAAATAACTCAATATTCAACCGATCGTTTCTATTGCAGATATATGATAAAGTGGTCCGCCGTTTTGTAAGGAAACTTATAAATGAAGAGTCTGGTACAGACATTTTGAAAAACAATTGTTTTTCGTAACACAACCAACTTTGCCAATGACAATTTTTATACCAAGTATAGATATAGTTATCGAATCCGACCGGTTTTACTGCCTGCAACCGAAGAACAGACTTATGAAAAGTTTCAGGATAACTTTAAAATTAAAAGACTATTTAGAATAACAGATGTTAATGTGGTCGGAGAAGTCTCTTCTTAAGCTTTAAACATTTCATGACATAACGTTAGTATAAAAATCGAACTCTTAAGAGAAGGCATTAGTGCCACACGTCTTCCAGCAGGGCAATATGGTGAGGATTACAAAATTAAAGGAATCTCAAACTAAAATAAAAAAATTCGATTAATGCTTCAAGATAATGTTTTTCTTATAAGGGTTACAGGCCACTTAATGGCAAGATACGGCTTGTACCCCGCTTTCAGCCCGGAAATTCGCATAGTTTATGGAAACTGCATCTATAATAATTGAAAGAGTTAGGTGCTCCGCAGGTGTTTGATGGGCTGCGAAACGCGAGAGAATATCGCTTCGAATATTTTAATATTTTCTCTAGTAGCGCGATTACTAGCGTTCGGAGGCCACCCCTTGCCGTCAGAGCACTGTGTGTTACTGCTATAGCCTGTATCCGCGACAGCGTTCATCTCGTGTTTTGGCGTAGGTCGAAGACCATCTCTTAGAATATATTGTCTATATTGCCTCTTTAAGCATCGGTTTGCCCCTTGCCGTTGTGGCGGTCTTTTTACAAACGTGTGCTTGCAATGAATCCACCGAAGGCATTTAATTAATTTTTATTGTATTGTTGTTAGTTCCTTTAGACTCGGTGATTTGGCAGTTACTCTTGCTGCAGACGGAACTGCTTTTGATCATTTTTTATTTGGATCTTTAAGGTTTGTACAATTTTATATAGAAATGTTTAGGTTTATAAATAATTCTTAACATGTATTAAAGTATTTGTACTGAAATATTGCATTTATCGATTTCTTTGGTCTTCATGTAATTTTAAGATTTGCCAATTGTATAGGCAGCCGCCAAATCGAGAGTTCTAGAAATTGTGAGTCGCATCTCTAGTGGCAATACAATAAATGAATTAATTTAAGAAATTTTAATTGGCTTAGCGTATCTAATGGTTTTTCTTTTTTGTAAAGAAGCAAACTTATGCATATGTCAATGCGTGAAGAGGCTGGCCTGCTTAATACATTACTCACATCATCACATCATACATCACTCACACTGAGAAATGTGGCTACTGGCTGAGTTGCATGCGCGGCCATGGAGTGTGCAATTCTATGTCAACCGCCAATATATATGTGCCGAATATAAAACAAATTCTAACTATTATTTTTGAATATTATTGATTGATAGAAGGTACTGTTATTCAATATGGTGTGAGATGAAGAAATTAGTTTCTGCCAAGCATGGTCGGAGTGTGTTATGCAGCGTTCAGTTTGGTATTTGGTGTTAAGTGCGCACTAACAGTGCTTAAGGTAAAATGACAAAAGCATGTGTAATATGCTTATGAACAATAAAAATCTCCTTATTGAACAGACGTGCTTTCCAAAATAAACAATAGAGCATGAATTAAAATCAAGTAAAATAGTGCTCAATATGAATTTCCAAATGCTTATGCAGGTACATACTTAATGATGCATTTATTCACAACACACAAAGTAATTGCTTCCTATTGCTTAACTTTCGGAGCGGCAGAGCTGATTTTTCCTCCTGCCCATACTATCGGAATTAAATGTTAAGCAACTTCTTTCTGAATACACAAGCTTTTAAAATAAGTTTTTTTTATACATTTTGGGAGAAATGTATAAATGTGTTTTAAAATATATTATATATAGACCGCTTACTAGCCGACTTAAGTCCACCAGCAGCTTAATGGAGTACATTCCGGGCTACTTGAGGCACTTATTTGACAGGCAGTGGCATAGCTATACCAACATTTTAAACGACAAAATGTTCCAGGTCATCCAGGATATACCTTTTACACAAAAAACAAGTAAGAGGTTATAGTCGGGAGCTCCCGACTAAGGAATACCCTGAACCCTCTTCTTCCAACATCGAATGCATATATATATTTTATTTTAGAAGCTATATGTCAAGTTTGGTGAATCTAGCTCTTATTATTTACTAAAATTGCCCAAAAAACAGGATATCGATATCGATTTTTATCGATTACTTGGAAACGGAGTAAGTTATCGATTATCGGAAACAAACTCTATCTGCGCGGGAACAAGGAGCATCTACATCTAAAATTTCTCTAGCTCTTATAGGTTCTGACATCCTTGCCTTCATACATACGTACGGACGGACGGACGGACCGACGGAGGGACAGATAGACGGACATGGCTAGATCGAATTGGCTATTGGTGCTGATCAAGAATATATATACTTTATGGGGTCGGAGATGCTTCCTTCTGCCTGTTACATACATTTGGATTTTGTACAAATACAATATACCCTTATACCCATTTTTAATGGGTTCAGGGTATAAAAACCATATCTTTGCCGAAGCATCTTAGAGCAGGGCTCCACATTGTGTAACCTGTACACTAATAACAAGCCACTGATACTGACATATCCATCAAGTAACTCCTTTCATTTTTGCAGACGACACGGCATTAGAAAACAGGAATATATGTGAACGAGCCAATGAAAAAAATACCTAAAGAGGTTTGAAAATGTTTAGACTTCGGTCTGAAACAAAGGCTGAAATTAAGCTAAAGTGGCTCTTGAGCCAAGATATCGGTTTTGCTGACAAGACTCAAAGACCATAAGACGAGTGACGGGTGCATAATGAGGCACGCGTGAGGTCCCTAAAGACATTGGCGTTCCATTAGTGGTCATCAACGAAAATAGGCGTCTAGAATCTTAAATAAACTTGTCCGTCCGCAAGATAAAAGAAGTTAAGTTTAAGAGAATATAGTTAGCATTTCTTGACACAAATATATAAATAAGAGTTTTCGTGTTCTTAGATCTCAAACTTCATTTGTTAGTTAATAATTGTCCTAAATTCTTTGTATTCAAACTTACCAGCCGAGCGAGCTAATGCTTGCCACAGTTGAGTAGTAACAGCATCTGTCGCATGGTCAGAACTTACGCTCTCTGGAGTCTTTCTGTCATACATAGCAGATGCGATATCCATTTCTAATTTATTTGAATCAGAGCTGTCCTCAGAAACCGATAAACCAGAAGCAATACTTTCGGTATGCAGATTTTTGGTGTTCAGTTGGTAGCTAGAAGGGCCAACTTCATTTAGAGTAATACTATACTTCCTTAAGTTTCCATCATTCCTCATATGACTTGCATCGATATCAAGTATTTGAGATTGGGAAAGGTTACTTGTTGTTGGATTATTCATTTGACTGCTGTGTTCCCTTTTCACTTTTTTGACAGATAAGTCTATTTCAATGCCCTCTTGCACATCATTATTAATAGATGGACGTTTTGATTTTATCACAGAACTTTTAATACTTGTATCTACAAATGCAGAAACGCAAGGAGATTGAGGATTCGAACATGGAGGCGATATGACAATTTTTTTACTTATATCCATAAGTACTGCTGCAGTCTCTAATTGCTGTTGCAAATTCTTGTATTGTTCAACATCTGAAACTTTAGTATGTAGTTCCACACCATTATCTAATTCGAAAGATACATCCGCCTTTTTGGATTTATCTGCCGCAGTTACATTGTGTTTAACTAGAATTGATTCTCGTTCAATTGTGTTTACTGGCTGTTGTGGACTTTCCAACAAATTTGAATATATCAAAGGCGTTTGAATATCATTAATTTTATTTTCGTTCTGGCGTCCTTTTTCCTTTGAAGACTTCATACTGTTATCATATGTTAGTTGCCGTTGGCTGTATCTACTTTTTGAAGATTTGCTCAGCTCAGTCAGTGCCTTCGCAGCAATTGCTTCAGATGAAGATTTTAAAATTGCATCCAATTTTGTTTCCAACTTGTTTGAATTCTAGAAAAAAAAGTATTAAATGATCAGTGGTAAATACGTCAATGCAAATAATAGCCTCTGTCCACTGAACACATTTCTGAAAATGTGACATTTTTGTATATGTGAAATGCGGCCTGCGTATTTCCCGATAAGAAAACACATTTAACACATCTTTCAAAAGTGTCACATATTTTAAAAATATGTATAAATTCTTCTCAAACATTTCCTGTTTTTTGCGATGATTAATCGAGATTTCTATCGATGTTGTGAAAAATGTGAAAGTATGGTAACCATAAACAGCTGATATATCAGCGAAGGCAAGTATCAACTTTAAATAAGAAATTTAAAATTAGAATAAGCCCACTGTTTTTTAAATTTAAACATGGCGAAATATCGAAAAGAGTACCTAAAATGGAGCCCTAACTTGGAGAGCGCAATTTTTGAGTTATGGAAGAAAAATTTTACGGCGCTTATGTAAATTAAAGCAATTTGATCAGCTGTTTATTTAAAGAAGCGGTACTTTTTCCACTCACATGTTACCGACAACCGGTGGACCATCAATATGTGAAATTTGAAGATGTGACATTTCTTAAACCAGTGGACAGTGGTTATAAGGAAGTAACATTATTATTATTATTACCGTAATTCTAATTAAATATATTATTTTACCAACGTCCATGTTGTTATTTTTATAGCGAGGATATTAATAGGTACATATATATATATATGTATTTACATTAAGCATTATTTTTACACTCTGCGCCCAATGAAAATGGAAAAAATAGTATGACGATGTTTTCAACACAGATATCAGGTAGAGGAAGCATTGCCGCTCAGCAGCATTAATTGTCAATTCAGTCTACTCATGTTCATTTGTATGTCTATCCAATTTCCCGTATGTATAATGGGTCAATCTTGGATTCTATAAGAAGTAAAGATCTTATATATATAGCTCTTCCTTCGGGTCATGCGGATCGAGTTTAAATAAAAACAAGTAAGAGGTTCTAGTCGGAAGCTCCCGACTAGGGTATGCCCTGAACCCTCTTCTTCCAACATCAAATGCATATATATATTCTATTTTAGAAGCTATATGTCAAGTTTGGTGACTCTAGCTCTTATTATTTACCAAAATTGCCCAAAAAACAGGATATCGATATCGATTTATCGATTGCTTGGAAACGGAGTAAGTTATCGATCATCGGAAACAAACTCGATCTGCGCGGGAATTAGGAGCACCTACATCTAATTTCAAGTCTCTAGCTCTTATAGGTTCTGAGATCCTTGCGTTCATACATACGGACGGACGGACGGACAGTCAGACGGACATGGCTAGATCGACTCGGCTATTGGCGCTGATCAAGAATATATATACTTTATGGGGTCGGAGATGCTTCTTTCTGCCTGTTACATACATTTGGATTTTGCACAAATACAAAATACCCTTATACCCATTTTTAATGGGTTCAGGGTATAAAAATCGGTAATCGAGCTTAGTGTCCATTAAAACGGTACGAATCGAGATATACAAATTTTCGAACAGCTTAGCATACACAAACATTTTTCTATTTTTTTTTTATAATTCAACGGTAACATTAAAAATTAAAAAAAAAATTTAGTGCCAGTCTTGGGCTTTGGTTTTTACACAATAAAAAAATATATACATGCTTCACGATTTACCAATAACCAAATAGCACTTTTTCCATTTTTAAATATAAATTGTAGAGCTAACTTCTGAAAGGACAACCCGAGCAAACTGATATGATAATGCAGCCTAGAGCAATGACAATAACTCAATTAACGATACCTCACACATGTCTGTATACCTCTAATGAATATAATCATATTATTGCAATAACTCAACAGCTGTAATCTTTGTTCACGACTAACAATAGAGTTAACACTGTTGAAGGAACCTCACAGCTGCCAACATGAACACTGGATTATCATAAGCACAACGCCCAGCCGTAAAGCTTACAATGTTTGCCTATTCACCAATTCAACCCAATAAACAGTTTGCCAGATTATATCTACTATGCAAAGAAGCGACCTCACCCGAAGCAGCACTCTAGCCCCAGACATCATATTATTTTTGAGTGGTTAAGTCAGTCTGCAGTTGTCGTGATCATAATTAAATTTTGCGCCCATACAAATTTATTCTCTATTATAAATTATTTTTAAACATAATTATATCTTTTTGGATTGACGTTTCTAATGTTTTCATTACATTACGAATGCCAAACTCCAACTATTAAACATTAGCCTATTCGATAAAAAATCTGTTTTTTTTTTTATCTAGTTTAAAATTTATCAAGTGCTAATCACAACTCAGAGTATCCTATAATGAGCTTAGCATCAGTTAGGTGTCGCCTTTTGTTTAATTAACAGCATTAGGTGATCTACGGAACGCCTCCCGCGAAGTGGACTCCCTTGTGGAAGGCCAAACTCGCGCCTTTTGAGACAACGGATAGGTGTACCTGTAGCCCGGGGGTCTGGCCAACCAATTGCTGTGAACCAACAGTCGATCGTTGTATCGGCATCAGTGGAGGGCGATCTGGTCCTTGCATGACTTTTACTTTCTTACGTTAAGGCTAGGCAGCAATTCCCCAGATCAAAGTACCGTGCGTCCATACGGGGGCAATAATACTCAACTACACTGTGCGCTGATTGTTGACGGAAAGCTTGCTCTTTTTGTTCAGCAGCCAATATAGGCTGGTGATTTTAGTTCGGCAGCTATTAAATACTGACGTGATGTTAAGTCTAAAAGTTAGTCACTGGTCGAAGAGATATCGTGACATTGATATTTAATTTTATTGGCAATCATCGTTTTGGATCAATTCGCAACTCGTCCGCGTCACGGACCGGTATGTATGATCTAAATAGTAAGAACAGGATAGGAAAACTACTTTGGGGTACGCCTACCAAAACGGAATAAATGGCTGTTGATCCCGGGAAGGATTTCATGACTTCGAAGAAAGGTGAGGGTAGAAAAGATTTCAACTAGGCCCCAGTTGTCATATTCGGTCAAAGGCCTGCTCGGCGATAAAGACTGCATTACAGTACTTATTTAAATCAAACGGCTGACCTAGACGTGACCGGCCACTTCTAAGCCTTCGAGATCTATGACTGGAAACTTATCGGCCTATAGGACAAAGGCCCACATTTCAGGAAGGGAGATTATCGATACGGTGACAAACTTTCACGAAGACGGGAATTATTGCACTCTTAAAATCGCGTTGAAGACTATCACGAGGAAGAGCATCGCATTCTCAGCAAGAGCCTTCAATGTTCTGTTGCAGACCTAGTCGTTTCCCAGGGCTTTTTAGGAATTAACCTTCTTTACTATACAAGATATTTTCGACGAGGTAAATTGGAGCGGAAAGCAGAGCAAAGCAGGCAGCACGGTGTGATAGTAACGCCTCCTTAATGGTCCACCCTGTACCTGTTGGTCTTGTTGACTAAATGCTGGGAGCGGATGAAAACTTTTCGGTTGCGTTTCTTCGAAAGGGGGCGGCGTAGTTCAGGGGAAGGCCTCTTGAGAAGGCCTGGAGACGGTGTGGCGAACTTACAGAGCGGTTTTGCGAATTTTGATTGTGAATATTTCCAAGGCATCGTCTATATCTGTACAAGAATTCAGCTCCATGTCGGGATCGCATCGCTTAAATTTTTCTAGATTTGTTTTGCGATTAATGAGGCTCTCTGCAGGAGAATTTTATGGTGCGGCGGAGTTGAGTGTGATAATTAATGGGAGATGATCCAATGAGCTTCCATTGAGGGATTTTTTGTATACAGCGAAGTCCGGATAGTTTGGGTTGCTATAAGCTCTGCATGAGTATCTTGTGGGACAACCTGTCGCAAAATTTGTTCAAATTTGAGGATAGGACAAACGTCGCACCGCTGGCCTCACCAAAGCCTACTCTTGTCGTTCCAAACTCGGCCGCCAAGGCAAAAACGGTATGGATGTCTGAAGTTTAGGAGTCGAGTTCCAAGTAGTCTGGCTTCGCAGAGAATTTTATGCCAATTCCGTAGCTTTGCGCTAAACGATCCACTTCGCTCATTTTTGTGGAAACACAATTGCCGTTGCAAACCAGAGAGTTTATTGTTAATTACGCGTGTTGAGCAAATCCCATATTTGGGTTTGCATGCTTAGCATTTGTTTTTGCATTACATTACATAGAGTAATAAATAAAATTCATTCGGGATGGTCTGTAATTGAGTAGACCGATTGTTGAGATGCTGATGTTGATACGCATCATGCGTTTGTGCTCGTTTCTGCTGCACCTGTTGCCTACCCTATAAATAGTGCTGCATATTGGGTTAGCTTTAATAACCTCCAGTTGCATCTGCATTCGGAAAGCTGCCTCTATTGGTAGGTTTAGGCGACGTTTGGGAGTCGACCACTGAACGTTTTTAAGAGGACATCGTCTTTGGTTAATTTGCAGAGTTTTGCTTATTAATACTGCTGTTAGATCTCTTCATGAGATTTTGGATTTTATTGTTTTTTAAGAAAGCAATTACTTACCTTCAGCCGGCTAGCTTAACATTAGAACTAATAAACAGGTTAATAAAACAAATAGTAATATTCCAAACGAAAGACACGCAAGACACGCAACAATTTTGTCAAGAGCTCAACTATAAACAACCAAATTATCCTTTTGGTGAAGTCAATAAATATGTTGTTTGTCCTAAAATAAATGGCTTCATCTAAAAGTTGATGAAACACCAATTTGTCGCGATTTTGTAAGGTTTAATTGTAACAAGTAAGAGGTTCTAGACGGGAGCTCCCGATCTGACCCCTCTAATTCCAACACCAAATGCAGATCGCGAAACGCGCTCGTTTAAAAGAATAAAAATAAAATAAAAAAAAATTCCTTTGGCAGGGTTCGAACTTGCAATTGACCGTACCACTTACCACTGCCTCTACGCTGCAGTCACACCAATAATTGAGTCTTATTGAGAAAAAAATGAATTAAAATAGCAGTAAAGAAAACAATCACACTTGCAATTCCGTTGATAAATTCGAA